GGGGGGCGACGAAATATATACATTGTTAGATGAAAGTCACAATAAAAAGCCTAAAATCATAAGGAAAATTAGATTATTCTTATCTAACACTCTGTATTAATTAGCTATTCCCGCCCTTTCCACCGGTCAAATGTTTTTGCTTCGAGTTGTTATTGGAAAATCGGTCGTAGCGACAGGCTATGCTATAGCCTTATTTTATTACTTGAAAGCTCTCTCTTTTTTAATGTTTTATGTTTACTTCATGTTAGTTACTTCCTAAATTCACCTCTTACACACAAACTTGTCTCTTACAATAACTTAACATTTGAATTTCCTCTTTCGTAACAGCGTACAAGTTCTTCCATCATGTTCACGCGACTCGATGCAGAGCGGAACGGCAAGATCCTAAAGCGCGCTGTTAACGAAGGTCGATTGTCTGAAAACAGTTTCTCGGTAATCATAGAACACATGGATGACTATGTTAGTTTACCGTCCAAACGACTGGCACACATCGTCAGACGGTACAGCCACCATCGAGCCATGAAAGATATCGGTAAGTTGTGTGTGGTGCAGGAATTGGGTCATATATCAAGCACGAAAGACCGTGCTTGACCACATTTCCAAACACCGAGAAGAGAGTTGAAAATTCGACGCGCAGCATTTTCTGAATGCGATTAAACATTTCTCTTATAATTTCAATTTTTGCACTTATGTTTGACCCTGAATGCATTCCTCTTTTTAGAACAAAGCTTGAAACAAAGTCGCAGTCTTGACGAAGGCGTGTTTTCCACCTTGGATAAGATGGAATCGCTGCAGAACAAACGCGCTCAGTGGTGGGGTGATAAAATGGACAGATATGCCAGCGACAGAGAACGGCTCGCACAACAGTTGACATCTTGCTTTGAAAACCTGGAACAAGAGACAGGAATCTTCCTCATCAAACCTGTATACTCACTGAAAGGAAGGTAAGATAATATTTTTAAGACAATTGATTATTCTGTTTCTATTTCTCTATTCTTGCGCGGACGGAAAGACCTTCGTGTCTGATATCATTGCTTTTGTGTAAACTAAATCTAACTGATTGCAAGGCTGTCAGTTTGGCAGACCGCCAGAGAGGTACTTATTTGGTCCATATTTAAACTGACAGAGCTAGTCGCCAAGGTCAGGGCTACAATGTAGGGGAATAATTATGATTTAAGCCCTGGTGCACCCTTACAAAGACTATCTCTGCTAGATGAAATATAGCTTGGGTCAGTAAATGCTACTTTGCCCTTTTACCTTCGCGTCAGCCTTGTGTTCAACTTGATTTAGTTTAGACCTTAAAATGTAGATCATATAAGCATGCACTTATTTATAATGGACATGCACATAAAAATCAGAGATCCGGCAATAAACGGACCAAGAGAATCAGGTTGTTTTCTTTGTGTGGCCCTTTGCATTGAAAAGTGTTACTGTCGTTAACTGGTGAGCCATGTTCTCTTAAGCATACTATCGTTTCACTTACGTGTAAACACATACGCACTATGTATGTACTATGTATGTGAAGTGGAGTGAAACGATTTACGATGAAAGTTCTTTCTAAAACAGACCTGAAGAAAACACTGGTTACGTTATCGCGCAGAAGCATAAGCCATCCCCAGCACCTCCTAAACCCAGCGGCCCCGCGACCCCTGCACCTACACCATGGCTGCAGTTTGGCAGCAAGGCACCAATATCAGCAGGGCTCTACCGTGACCTTACACAAAGCTCCCTCGCCAGGGCCGCCTCTTCAATCCCTGCAATGGGTCAGCTTGAAGATGGCACGATGAAGATGAGAGTGACACAGCCCATGGATAGAGATGGCCTTATAAGCTCGTCGGTGGGTGTGGCGTGGCAGGCGTCTAAATCTCAAGTGTTGGGTACGCCATCATCAGCTGCTGTACAACTGAATACTCCCAGGATTCTGGAGCTCGACGTTAATCGCATGATGATTGGTCAGATAGATGTCAGGTACATTGTAATCACTTTTATTCAAACGCCAAGGGCAACCTTCATTTGGCTTCTCTCGATTCACTGTTGAGGAACAGTGTTACGAAACGAATCCAGTGAACGTGGACGAAATGCTGGAATTTCGTGTAATTGAGAGGTCAATTGACGGTTAAACCTTGAAATTATCAACGTTAGAAATCAAGATTTGTTACTCGGTAACCTACACCTTGTTATTAGCCACCTAAACCTTATGAATACCACGCCTCATTATTTTTTCCGGAAATGGCAACATTGCTCGTAGTTTCGTAACTTTGGGCTGGAAATCACATCTGGGCCTAAACTTGTGAAAAATATTAATTACTGAATTAATGTAATCGCATTATATGAATTCAAGGTTCAGTTATCGGCTAACGATCGGCTCGAGACCAATAAACTTTGCCGTGTCTCTATAGACCTGCCATTGATAAGGCGCCTCCGGCCAGGTTTAAGTTGGCGGCTGTCATGATTATGATAGACAGCTGTCGCTAAAAAAAACAAGCAATGGTAGACTAGCTGATTTAATTTCACTGTTTCTTCTTTTTTTCCAGTAAGAACATTGTTCCTGTGGATGACGCCGGAGAAGTGACAGGCTCCGCTGTAAGAAGTTATGTTACAGTAGAACGACCTTCAGGAGGCAAGCAAATCCGAAAAGCCAAGCAACATACTCCGGGTAAGCCAGTCGGAAGTCCAATCCAAGCGTTCAAAGGCGAACAATGCTGTGAACAATTAATAGTAACTCCGGGTCATGGGGCTCTCTTGAACATTAATTAAATCGGAAAGGGCATAATCTTTGCAGTGTCTCACTCAAATCACTGTGAAATATTTCCCGAGACGATCTTATACAGTGTCATAATTTCGTAGTAAAACCCTAACAAAATTATAAGGGAACGCCTTTTGAACAGGGCATGGGACGTAATATGTGCATTTTAAGTAAAACGTTTTGAATGAGATGAATACCAATGATGACTTGGAGTCAGAATGATATTAGTAATAGTAATTGGACCGAGTGGAGTATAATTACTTGAAAAAGTGTAAGAGTTTGACATTGGATAATTATATGGCTAGCCATATAATTATTCACTGGAGCACAATTCAGGGAGTAATCGCAAGGCTGATTTGAAATTGCGAGCACGGTTACTCGCTGAATTGTACGACACGAGGTCCAGTAAATCGTATCTATAATGACAGTCTTTTGACAACTTGTTTTGAACGAAAAAGTCAGTAGCGCTCTCCATAAGCTTAAACAATAGGTATCCAATTTCAGGTAGCCAATTTCAAAAAGTTGTAACTGAATACCCACGTGATCGCGCGTCGATTACGCGATAAATAGGCGCGCTGAGAACCAATCACGATCGAGAATTTTTTTAATAGATACGATTCATGATGCAATTTGTTATTCTCTTTTTGCAGCCTCTTACAGCCACTCTCCACCCAACACAGCTCAGGATGCTACGACCTCCCGTCCCTACAGCGGTTCTCTGTTAACACACTACTCTCCCCTCCCTCCTATTCACATGCCTAAGTTACGTCAGGAGTCCCGATCAGGCAAATCACGTGACAGTGACACGGTGACGCTTTCAGAAGCTGGGACTCCTTTGGCTGGGACAAAGTTTGAAGACGCAAGACCGAGTACACAGGGGACGGTTAATGGACACGATACACATACACGACTTGTATCGCCTGAGATCTTACCTGTTAGATAGCGAAGTCTTGTTGGTTATGTACGGTGTACAAAGTGTAAATAGTTGTAAATAAGAGAGAAATTTAACTTGAAAGTGAAACAAGGACAGTGAGTATGAAATACAATTAGATAGCGAACTTAATGAACCGAGTTTTGAAAACTTATTTCTAAGAAATAAAGTTTTTCTTTTTATATAAAGGCTGTTATTTCTCGTACATGTGACTTTATGTTTAACGCCATGAAAAAGGAGCCGTGAATGAGGCGGTTTTCTTAGAAAAACTGCCTGATTCGAGAAATGTTTTTTTGTGTACCATAGAAGCGGTTGAATATCAGTTGTGTTCCGTTCAATAGAGTTGAAGTTGAAGTTGAAGGCGAGACACCACCAGTATTAAAGGATTAACAAGACGACCTCTCTCACCTCTCCCTTTCCTTTCGTGTTTCCCGTTCCATGAACATTGTGTAAGAACGGATTTCTCTTTGTTATGCAATTTTATTGTGCTAAATGAAGGGTAGTTTAGTGTGCCTGAGCGTAGGATCAAATACGAGGAAACGTTTTCGTTTCCGAAACTCGGGGCGAAAAGTAAACTTTCGTTCGGCCTACTTATAATTAACTGCTGCTAAGCTCCTTGCTTGACTCGTCTACCCAACCAAAGCTCTTGGGAAGTACTGTAGCTTCTTGAGGCAACGAGCAGCCATAGAGAGTGATGTATTTTCCTTTCGCACTTTCCCTCGCGTCACTAGCACGGGGTTAAGAGGGACTGCTGTCTGGAACTTATAATTCGTGACAGTGAGAGAAAGTCGATAAGCTATGCAGTGGGATTTAACAATACGATTATGAGCTCGAGATTTCTACCGCGTGATAGTTGACAAGGGCGCACGCGTAGAAATCGAGAGCGAATAATGTAACTGATTTGCTATGAATCTGCTAGTATAAAACTTTATCTAAAAGTTTTCTTCATAGACACTTGGAAAACTCAAAGAAGCGGCCACCAGTTAGTTAACAAGCGCGCATTGCCGGGCTACTCACTATCTACAAAAGAATACATAGTGAGTAGCGGAGCCAATCAGAGAACGGCATTCGTGATAGAACGTTGGTAGATTTGTATTAAAAAATGATATTCACTCTTGGCTTAATTCAAGATCTAAGCATATTCAGCAATCATGCAAACCGACAATAGCTCGAAAAGCTGTGAAAACACTTTCCTGCGGCTCGTGCTCCCACAGCAATTCTCGTTCTCCTATATACTTTCACTCCCATACCTCGACCGAAATACAGGAAATGTTTTCTATTTCTTAATTGTCCATTTTCTAAGCAAAATGTTTTGATTTATAGTGAAATCTTTGATTTCAACAAATTTCATATTTTTAGAAATTTGGGTTGAATATCCTCTCCGTTTTGGCGCGTTTAATTTACTAAGAAACAGATGAGTCAATATCATTCAATTTGGTGACGATCACCATAAAGTGCGCAAAAACCAATCAGTCTTGCTCGGTCTTATTGACTCCACTTGGAAGAAAATTCTTTGTCATTTTAATAACTTATTAATGAAAAGATTTCGCAACTGATAGCTCTTGCAAGGAATATTTACTCAACAATAACGAAGAGGTAGTATGATGATCGCGTTGCAACAATTTTAGTTAACTGCACCTCTTAACACAAAATGGCGAAACAATTTATTTAGCTGAGGTCGAGAACAAAAGGATCTATTTCACACACGTTTCCCGTCCAATAACCTCCACGCGTCATCCGATATCCCTGATTTCGAAATTCAGCCAAAATACGTGCATTTCCTACTTCGACAGCACAAAAAGATACCACGTATACAAAGGAGGTGTTCTTAAATCGAGCATCGAAGTATCGCAGATCATCTCCTAGAGAACTAGATCACACACGGCTATGGTATACCCTTACAAACTACTAACACTAGCGCTTTGTTCAACATGGCTCAATGGCTGTCTTTGCGCTGGTAAGTAGTTGATGGACGGATTATTTCAGAGTTAGAACAGAACACGGGTTAAAAAAAGCAGAGCCTTGAATGTGCTCTTAACAACACAAAACCACGAATTTCAGAGGATTTCTCAATGTTGTTCACTTTTAAACTCTACCTACAAACTCAACTTTATCTGTAAACTGAAATAACCACTCTGAATCGTTTTTTGTAGAAATAAAGCTTTCTCAGGTAGCCTTAGGGACCTTCGCGCCCAACAATTCCCGCGTCACCGTGCTGGGGTCACCGTGCTCGTTTTCGAAATAAGACAATCAAGCTTTCGTTATTTTAAGACAGTCTTAGAATACGACTATCAGCAATAAAAAATACTTACAATAGTAAAATTTAGATCAGGCAAGCGTGCTCAAATCAACACAACTAAGTACATGGAGTCAATTTTTGCAGCCGATGTCGTTCCGCGTGAGGTAGAGCAGGTCTTGAAAATGAATGCATATTAGTCCTGCCCGTTCAAATTCGAAGAACACTTCTGTCACACGAGAGCAGAAAAGGTGAAAAATTTTAACTTCTCACCTACAGATTTTTTCTGTTTATTGTTGAAATGGAGAAAATCAGTATTGGAAGTGATCTATGAAAAAGAAGAGGGAGTCACTGACCCGTTGAGAGAGTAAACTGCAGGTGAATTGCACGCCGTGGGTACCAATCCCTATACTTGTTTATATTTTTTCCTCCTTGGCGCGCGCTTGATGTATGACGTGACGCGACGTTGCAACAATGAACAGCGAGCGCAGTAAGGATGTGCAGAAGCAAATGGCGCCAATCTTTGTTTAAGGTGTGTAACTTGTTTTAGAAATTAGCCAAAAAAGTACTGGGGCGACCGAGTTGGGAGTCGTATGAACGCAAGAATAGAAAATTTTGTTGTTGCCATGGGGACGTCTTGGGAAGATAAAATTGTTGATCATTGTCAATCTTTTCAGAGTATTCCTTAAAAGTAACCACAGGAAGTTCACTTGGAGCGGGGACGGACGCAAACGTGCTCATAAAGATCATCGGCACAAGGGGTACTACCGCTGAACATAAGCTGGAGGGCTCAGGAGACGCTTTTGACAGAGGAAAGTAAGACGATGACATCAAATTTAGGCTCCGTCTTCACTACACCGGAGGAATTTGAAAACGGAGGTTTCACTCTGAAAACGCATCAGATGTTTTCCGTCCACTCTATGCTGGACGAGTTTAAAAACGCAACAATCATCGTCATTTTGGAGTTGTGTTTGAGGTAAATTCGGTCAGGGAGATCACATGATTGTCGCGACACCATCGTCGTTTTCCAAAAAGTCGACGTTTCCCAATTCCTCCGGTTTGAAGAGCATTTTCGAAAAGCCCCGTTTTCGTGACGGATTAGTGTGGAGAAAAATAAAAGGGAAATGTGTGACATTGCTCTCTTTTGGGAATTTCATTTGCGGGAAATAGAAAAAAAGCTCTGAAAACGAGATTAAGGGATATATAGAGGAAAAACAATGAAACTAAGGACTATGCAGAATAACTGAACTACATTCAGCAAGATGTTGTTGCAGCAGATATTAAAAATACAACTCATACAATTTAAGTTGAGTTATTTTGCTGTTGTCAGTACTGCCCAGTTCTCCTTCAAGGACGCCGCTGACGTTGGAGACATCACAGCCATATCACTCAAAAGAGACGAAGCTGGTTGGTTTCCCAAGTGGCAGCTCGCTCGTGTAAGTAAAGCTGACTCATTCCTTTTGGCAATTTTTTCTATACTGTTAAAAGTTTATATCCAATCAGTTAACAGCTCACTCCTTTATTACTTAATAGTCTTCTAGATCAGTCGCTGACCAAAAAAACCAACGGGCGAAAAAGTCACGCCGGCACTATATCTATTTTATTTAATACACCATATTATCTACATTGCTTCTTTTTTATCGATAAATACTAAAATTGTTTATTACAATTGTAGCGTAGTCTTGCATTTTACACTAACGTCTTTACCTCACCTCACATGCAGCGAGATTCATTTGGTCCAGAGAAAGGATTACAAAATTTTAATGACAGAACTGACTATCAGAGAGATTTGCAACAAGCTGAGGAAGTTTAACGAATGCCATGTTCTTCTGAAAGTGATTTAAAGTTTTTGAAGCTTAAGTAACACTGACGTCTGAAGGTCTTAAATTTTCAAAGATTTAATGTACAATGGGAGCTGATCAGGAGTTTGTAAGTCAAGAAACTGGTGAAAGCGACTTTATACAAGAACAACTTTGCCACAAACAGTGTTCTGGTTATTTCGTATTCAAAAAGTCTCTTCTCTACTTACTGAAGGTTCTGTTGAAGGAAAGCAGTTCTCGGAAATGGTTGCTGTTTGAGCACAATGATTGGACTGAACCAAACGAGTGGTTTACAATTCAAGGTATCCTAGGTCTATAAACTCACTTACCCTACCTGAATGTAGAATTTGATCGCTGATGAATCACAAATTATTTAACCGACAAATGAAGAAGCCTAAGCCTTGTATTACACTGTGATAAAACACGACGAGCATTTGAGAACACGAGGAAAATATAGAAAACACGAACCGCAGGCACGGTGTTTTCTTAATTTCTCGAGTCTTCTCAAATGCCCGGAGTGTTTTATCACAGTACAGTAAACGCGGCTTAGGCTTCTTTATTTGCTTTATGACGCAGCTAGTACCACTTAAGTGCTACATGCCTCGTCTTAAAAACTTTCTGCTGCTTCGCAGAGAACTCGGTCACAAATTTCTTCAAAGAAAATGTTTTTCGCCATCTCTAACATCAATGTTGACTAGAGGTAATGTGGCAAAAAACAATAAAACACGCTTTTTCTACGGGTTTTTGACCAATCAGAGCACTCGCAGGCTAAGGTCCTATGAATGGTTTAGTATTTTTTTTCTCTTTTCAGTTACCTGTGAACCTGGTTTTCGTAAAAATCCAGCAACTGGAACTTGTTTTGGTCGTAAGTAACAGAAATAATTCTGCCACTAATGAAATCGATTGGAAATAACTTTAAGGAACAAAACAAGTGTCACCAGACCCATCTTAATTTTCCTCGTGTCTAGGCCTCACCGGTCAAGAGTAACAGGCGACTCTGGGGACGACACAGTAATAGGATACTAAGAGAATTGCGGGATTATTTGTAAATGAAATCAGTAGATAGCTGGCGAGGACGCGTTTTTACCTCTCGTCTGCGTCGTCCTAAGTCGCGCTAAAATTAAGTTTACATTTGTCTTGTGCTTCATGCAAAAATTGTGATTCCCTGGTTTGTGGTAACGTATGTTTAACTTATTTTCTGATCCCAACAAAGTGTACACTTGAGCCTCTGATATCTCTATTCTTACTCCATTCTTTTCAGCAACTTGTGGTTCACGGCCCTCTTTACGAATATCCAGCGGTTCCGTGGCACCTCAAGGAGCCTGGCCGTGGCAGGCCATGCTGAGATTCACGGTTTATGACCGTGCAATGTTCTGTGGAGGTTCCTTAATTTTGCCTCAATGGGTTCTTACCACTGCTTACTGCGTTTATGGCAAGAAAGCGTCAAACATCTTTGTCAGGTAGAAACCAAATCCGGTAAAACGTTAGGGCATTTAAAGAGAAAAATTATCTCAAGGTCATTCTATACCAAGCCTTACCGCTAAATTGTCCTGGACTCGATTACACATCCGTATTATCTCGGCATTATTTAATATCCTCGTTAGAATTCAATCCCGTTAAGTGTTTATCTCTGAATAGCGCTCGATATTTTAATTTAAATACATATGGTGAGATAGAACAGTGGACCAGAGGATAATGTAGTTTGAGTTACAGGCGCCCTCCCCCAAGGAAACAAATCGGAGAAAACTGCGATCTCCTTTTCTTTCTCAAGGAGGGCGAATGTAACATAGGCTTAGCAGAATGAGTCAAATGAAACTCGTCGATCGTACCCACGCCAGATGATTTGGTTGCAAGCTTAACCCGCAATAATATCCTAACCGGTGGAGACAAGTGACTGCCCTGAAAAAAAAAGAGAAAAAGAAAGCAACTGAGCAAAAAAACAAGCAAACAAACAAACAAAATCTGTCTGCGGATGTGCTTGGTTACAGGTTGAGGAAAGTAGCACGTTCGAGTAAACAGCAAGCACAAAACAAAAGTATAATTGCGTTCTGATAGTCAATCGTAATTAAATTACTCTTTAAAAGTGAATTCTGTCTCGGACGTTTCAAACAAAATAGAACTAACTTGTTTCATGTAGCTGTTAAGGCTGGTGGGTTACGTTATAATAATGTATCTGGTGTTACGACACAAACAGGCTTGGCGCTTACTACAGAGAAAAAACTATTGGCACAGAGCAAGACATCACCGTGGAAAAGATATTCATTCACCCTAAATACCACATCCCCAACCTTTTCTCCAATGACCTGGCTTTGCTGAAGTTAACACAAACTGCTAGCCTGTCTCATGGAACTGGTTTAGTCTGCCTACCAAACAAGCTGTTGCCGTTGCCTGTGGGCGAATCATGCTGGGTTACCGGGTGGGGCTACACCGACATAGCTGCAGGGACCCTACCCGAAAAACTCAAACAAGGCCAGATTCCCTTGGTTCCGAGGGCCAAATGCGCCGCTGATCACCCTACAAGGACAATTGACGAGTCTATGCTGTGTGCTGGCTCTAATATCACTGGTATCAGCGGATGTCAGGGTGATAATGGTGGGCCTCTTGTGAGAAACGTCCATGGAAAATGGTACCTTGAAGGAGTGTTTAGCTGGAGAGCTGATTGCAACCCCTTGAAAAGGTACAAGCATCAAATGTACTCTAATGTAAGGTACATGAGAGAGTGGATAGACAATACAATAGCAGATAATCAATACGCATAGACGGAGCCTGTGAAATGTAACCCCTCTTGTAAAACTAGCAATTCTCCACGAAATAATTTTTATAATTGCTAAACTTAAATTTAAATGCGTAGACTAAAGGAACTTTAAAATAGCATATGTGACCTAAAATGTACAAGATTCTATTCTACAATAAAAAATTAAAATCAAATACACAAATCCAGTCCATTTTGCGGTAACTGTAGTTTCAACAAATATGCCTGTATTTCTTCAACTTTTGGTATTTAAAATCTCTTGTATATGTCAATTTTGGTTTCGATCCTTAAGGGTGGTAACCTGCGTCCTTGGTAAATTTAATCTCGTCCCCAGAGCCTTCCGTAGTTTTTGGTCACGTGGTTGGCGCAACAGTAATATAACGAGTAGCTCTGGGAACGAAAAAACGATAAGGCTAGTATAGGTGTTCATATGAATGCGGGTGCATCCTTTAAACGCCCTTCCTAAACTCTAGTGAGACAATAACCTGAACTGCTCTGGTCAGCGGAGTCGGCCATGAAGTCCTCTTCTGTCGAAAGAACAATACCACAAGCTAATGTCTAGTCCACCGTCACTGCATCTTATTAAATTTTATCTGATAATTAGAGGACTAACAAAGTGAGATTAAAACTAATTATTTTATGGCTGAACTGGTCCACGATCAAAGGGAGAATTCTGATTGGTTCTCTTAGAGGTCCGAATTTTGCAATATCGACCACAAAAATTCCTCAAATTGCATTTTCAATTCATTCCACAAATAAACAGTTTTTTGTTGATCAGACCTTCATGTTTGGAGAACAATTTTCGTAACGAACTGACAATTTGTATGTATAAATACTACAGTAAGCACAAAAAGTCATTCAATAACACTCATCTCATCGAAAGTGACTGTGGTCAGCTTTAGCTGTAGAAATAGATATTACTCTTTATCAGAATCTACCAAGGTAAAAAGTTTCTTGGTAACAAATGTGCCACAGACATTGACTACATTTCAAAATATGCGACTTTTTTCAATTACAATTTCCCTAAGTAACGAGGAAATGCCATGGCTATTGCAGACAGACATGGCCAAGTAAATGGTTTGTGAACTAATTTTATGATCAATATGGCCTGTTGATAAATTTAGCCTGTTCTGTTTCCTTAATAGCAAACGTTTTTTATGACTACAGATTTTCCCTGGTTGAGAATTTGTTGCTTAGCCCGAGAAAAACGCTTTCCGTGAAGCATCTTGGCTTGTTCTGTGGATTTTACGACGAAAGGAATGGTTGTATTAATCGATTAAATAGTCTTTTACACTCTTTTGAGGTAATGATTCATAAAATTGCGTAGCGGAAGTTCAGAGCCGCCTTAATTGTCGAAAATTTAAGATGGCTCTGGACCCTCTCCACATAATTTTTTTCAAGCTGTGCGAAAAGTTATTTCTTGTCTAATTCGATAATAATAAAACAGGTTTAACGGAGCTGTTTTTGAATTATAGACACTTAAAGCTAAAATTAAGGGTATTTTAAGCAGGTTGTATCATTATTACGGTAACCTGCGATGAGGGTGGCCACAGCTTGTTCATCAGTGATCGGGCATTGCTACCAGTGCTACCAGTTGTTTCAATAATTTTCTCTCTCCAATTCTGTGTCACATGCTGGAAAGGTAAAATGTAACAAATAATAACTGAAAAACAGATTACCAGTTAATGAAAAATAAACGAAGAAGTAGTAAGAGTAGAAATCGATTTCAAAGTTAAACAAATAAAACATAATGGCAATAATGTGAAGGAACATTAAAGCAATACTCAAAATACGATATGTGCTTGCAAGCTCTTTGAAATCTTGAAGTCACGAGTTTGGCCAAATGGTTTAACTTCAAGTTAAACTTTTTACTTCATCATCAAATTGGAACAAAAGAAAATTTTTACCGTGGTGCTTGGACGGCATGGATGTCTTTTTTTTCATTTTACAGTTTTTATTCACAACAAGAAAGAAAAAAAGAAAAAAAAAAAAAAA